TAAAAAATCCTTGCATTTTTTAACTTTTTTTATATACATAAATGTTTTATTTTTATTTCATAATATACCTATAAATATATGGTTGCCAACGATTTTTTGGCACCCTGTACATTTGATTTAAATTTATTTATGGAAATATTTTTTTTAACCATCAGAAGTTTTCATAAGGAATTAATTTTTGTAAAACTCAAGGTACTTATCACTAGAAGCATTCTCATGTTTTATTAATTTTTGAGCACCCTGTACATTTGGTTGAAAAAATTTTAATGGAAATCTCGTTTTTTTAAACTAGCGGAATTTTTATAAAGAAATATTTAATAATAAAATGTTCCTATTGAAAACCTGGCCTGAGACACTGTAGAAAAAAAAACACAGTTTTGATTCAGTTTTAGCGGGCAAAAATTGATGCATAGGATTTCATGGTCCTATTTATGGCGCAGACCACTAAATTAATTTAAAAAAAACTGGTCGAATTTATTTTTAATGTAAACAATTTTTGTTCTCTAGATGTTTAAAAATTTTGCTTCTGCGAATTTTTAATTTAAGTTACTAAAAACTTGTTGAATTAAGCAATTATTTGTAAAAGATTTGTATTGACCAAACAAACACCCTGTATAATTAATAATATTGCAACTATCCATAAATAACATTTAATATTCAAATGCTTTTAAAGTTAGTAAGATAAGGATAACTAATTCCAAACTTTACAAGTTCACTACTTAATATTTGATCGTTTCCCCAAATCTAAATTTACCACTATTTACAAATCGTTTTAATCGGTGACGCAAAACAAAAACTAATGAACAAACAACAATAAACAATTATTAGTACCTACCTTATTTAGTTTAAATATTTTTGACATTATTTTGAATTTAAGTTTTGATTTTAAAAGTTTAAGATTTAATATGTTTAAAATTTTAAGGATTTTAAAGTTTTTTGTATTTTTTACTATTTTACTATACCTACAAGGTGGACCAATAATTCTTTTATGTGTATAGTTACTAGGGTATCCGTTATTCTGCCGTGCAGGTCACAAACAAATTGTAAGGAAACAAATTTTCTCGATTTTTATGTAAGAATGTCATATTCTCGCACGCAAAATCGTTGAAGAATGAAGCTCATTCTTAAAAGATTTTTGGTAACATTTAGTTTTTAAGTATTGGTACCCCCAAAATGTCAAACTGTTTAATAACCTCAAATTCATTACTTTTAGGATTATTTATAATAGCTTTGTTTGTTATCCTGCACTAGTGCAACCTGAACTACACTTTTATTGAAAATGAAGCCTTTATTATTGTTTTGTAATATTAAGTTTGCTCCAACGATGCATTTTAATGCAAAATTTTAAGTTTAATGTGAAAAAGTTCTGTTCAGGTTGTACTTGTGCAGGATAACAAATATTGTCATTTTGTGTTGCCAACTGACATTTTGCGAGAAAAATCCCCCAACTAACAACGACCACAAAACAATTAAAAAACCTAAATAAAAGTTAAAATCGAGAAAATAGTATAAATCACACGTTGCAGAAGGCTATTCTCGCACTCATTCGTTCGTCCACTCGCTCCTTCGTCGCTCGAGGCCAAATTTCGAATTCGTGCGAGAATATGTGGCCTTCTGCAACTTGTACTTTAATATACTATTATAATTTAAATGCTTTTTTTTAATATTACATTTTCATTTATGTATATATAATATATATACATAAATGAAAATATATATATTATATATATATATATATATATATATATATATATATATATATATATATACGATACCAACTTTCCTATTTTTAATAGAACACCCTGTATTTTTTTGTTTGTTGTTTGTTTTTGCATTCCATACACTTTTTCTTAATAAACTGTATTTTTGGAGCAAAAAACGCCATATTTGTAAAAAATACAAGGCCTACTATGTCAGTTTTTAAGAGTAAATTTTTAAGAATTCATATTAGCGATTTTTTTAAACAAAATCGGAACTGGATTCACCACCCCTCAAAACGACCCTACACTAAATTTTATTGAAAAATTTTAAGTAGAAAAATGCACAATAACATTTTGTGGTTATTATTGTGCATTTTTCTACTTAAAATTTTTCAATAAAATTTAGTGGTTGTGTTCCGTAATTTACTGTTAGTACTGAAAACGCATTCCGAAATTTACTTTCAGTTACTGAGCTCAGTGGTAAATACTACCCTTTTATAAATGTACGGCAGATTAATTTTACTGAAACAACTGCAGTTGTTTCAGTAAAATTAATCTGCCGTACATTTACACCATGGTGACAGAGAGGTGCTGTGGCTCCAGTAAAACACATAACATAACCAAACAAAAAATAGCTGTCAAATAAAGTGAAGGATATAAATTATATCATATAATGGTATTTGGTGAATACCTATAGGACTAATTATTTCAATATTCATTGATAAAATATTACTTGAAAGTGACGAAGGCAGGTCGCCGGGGAATACGCATACGAAGACCCAGAATATGAAACTACCCACTAGGTAGTACAGTGGCCGACACGGAATTTTGAACGACATAACTTGGTTGTCAATGTATACATCTGTAAATAGCAAAGATACAATATTAAGCATTTTTGCTTTCGCTGTCAAAATTACAATACTAGTGATAACCGAAAGTAAGGTTAGTTGTCCATAAAGAAAGTTTAGATTTTGATGTCAACGGGATGATAGTCGTTCAAAATTCCGTGTCGGCCACTGTACCTAGAAAATGTTATATATTTGTATTCCGCGGACGAATTTAAGAATAATTTTTGGTATTTGGCGTATATTTCCTATTCCTATATACATTTTTCGACGCGGACGACGATAACATTAAATTTTCTATATTTCTCTGCCATAAACCAAATATTATATTTCTTATAACTGTTTATATTTATATTTAAGTAAATCACAAATCATAACCTTGCGTAACCATTGTCACTTTCTGTTAACAGAAAGTGACAGTAGCAATCGCTACTGAGGCGCGTTCCAATTTTACTATTGCGTCAGTACTAAATAAATTACGGAACGGTCTTTGTTTGCTACTGAGAGTAAAATTACTGATGGTAATGGCAGTAAATTATGGGTCGTTTTGAGGGGTGGTAAATCCAGTGCCGATTTTGTTTAAAAAAATCGCTAATATGAATTCTTAAAAATTTACTCTTAAAAACTGGCATATTACAAATATGGCGTTTTTTCCTCCAAAAATACAGTTTATCAAGATCTACACTTTAAAACAAATCCGGTTAAAATCGCACAATAAATAAAGATTTTAAAAGGGTGAGTCGCAAACAAATGGGTCACACAGTATATATTAATTATAAAAATACTTTTTAAGTAAACTTATGTTTTAGTATTTTTTTCTAAATATTTAATTCGCTAAAACTTAAAAATAAACAACTAAACATAATTATTTTTTATATACATATTATAGGTATAGTATCCATCTTTTTAATAATAATTATGCTACAGTAAAAATATTTTTCGCCGATATCGTTGTAAATATATTAATTAGGAAAATGTTTATTACTTTTAAAAACGACATCGAAAAAAATATATATTTTTTTCAGAATTGTTGTTAAACTGAAACCAAAAACCTAATTTATATGATATCCAAGTAAAAAAGACAAATTAAAGCCAACTCAAGAAATTCAAACATTTAACATTTCAATCATTGACTATCGATATTATTTAAATTTATTAAAAAGACCATTTTTGTAAAGTTTAAAATTTCCTACAAAAATGGTTGCATGTCTATTAATTAAAGAGTAATGCATATTTTCTTATGTAAACGACATCGGAAATTGTTTATTTAATTGTTTTTATAAAAACAATTAAATAAACAATTTCCTATAGGCTGTTCAAACTGAAAAAAGCGGTTCTTAAAACATTACAAAAAAGTAAAAACCAAAAATCATTGTAATTCCTGGAAATTTTGAAAAAAGTTTTACGTGTAAACATGCACTACATATCAATGCTATTTTTATTTAATTTCTTTGGTACTAAGTATATTTTGAGTTCCCATCACCCAGCATATTTTATTTATAAAGTGGCCGCTATTGCTTATGTAGTTAGTTTGCTACATCGTTGGATTCCTATGTTTTTTTCTATTATATGTATTAGGGTGTTTCATTTAAAACGAAAATTTTTTTTTCCTTGCTGACACATGAAAATTTTGGTTTTTAGGTTGAAAAAAAAAATTCCCTGAAAATTTGAGCCCTTAATTTTGATTCTAAGTACTTCCTTTTTAATTTTATAGTTTTTCCATATAAAAAGCATGTATTTTTAATCATTTTTACTTTAAATTTCTATATTTTGGCCGGGTTTTGAATTATAATTTTTATCACCATAATTTTCTGCATAGTATTCACGGTTTTTGAAAGGCCCTGCATAAATTTTGTTTTTGATTTATTTACGTTGATTGTAGTAGCTCCAAAAGTCGTTTTTTCACTCTTTTCACATATTTTTGAGAAAATCGAGCGAATGACTGGTTTTACCGAAAAAGTTCAAATAAAAAAGTTGTAGAAAATTTAATTTTTGACAAAAAAGGTAAATAAATCAAAAACAAAATTGATGCAGGGCCTTTCAAAAACCATGAATACTATGCAGGAAATTATGGTGATAAAAATTATAATTCAAAACCCAGCCAAAATATAGAAATTTAAAGTAAAAATGTTTAAAAATACATGCTTTTTATACGGAAAAACTACAAAATTAAAAAGGAAGTACTTAGAATAAAAGTTAAGTTCTCAAATTTTCAGGGAATTTTTTTTCAACCTAAAAAACAAAATTTTCATGTGTCAGCAAGAAAAAAAAAATTTCGTTTTAAATGAAACACCCTAATATGTATACAACTATAATGTCAATATGACGGCCATAGGAAAAACATAAATGGTGGAGGTTAATCAAAACCAAGTAGGTTTTTTCAGATTTTTTTGTTGAAAAAATCAATAGGAACCTATGTCATATAAAATTAAAAACAATAAATAAAATAACTCACCTGAAACCAGTGGGGTGCTGTTTGAGGATTCGTAACCATCATCAAACGTAGAAGTTGGGGTGGACTGAACGTTGGCCAATTTTTTCAAATCTTCAATGGAGTTTTTTGACTTTATACTTACCTCGTCGTGATTTTTCCCATTGGTGGCCTTGATCGTTTCACTACTTCCAAATTTTTCCTCGGAATAATCGTTGTGATTTTTGAAGAAAACCTCAGAAAACGAGCGGGACGATTTCGGTTTTTTGTGCAGAATATTTTGGGTTATTTTGTGGACATCTGGATTTGATTTGCGTTTTTTTTGTTTATTATCTTGATCTTCTGTTGTTTCATTACCTTTGATGAGCGGTTTTAACGGGAAATTATCGTAGATATTCGACATCATGAATTACGTTAAAATTACCGCAATAATTATGTTTTTAATTCATCAGGCGCAAAACTCATTACTCTAATGCTAGTAAATTACATATGTACATATGTCTACGCACACGTGATGTTTTCACACTGTCAAACACTCTTCACTTGTCACCAGGCCGCTCGAGATGTTGCGTTAAAAACCTTTTTTAAGGGACGATGTGGTCGTGGTTGGGACGCCTGGATGAATAAAACGCGCGTCGCGACGCGCCAAGCCACCTTCGATGTTAGGTAGGTGCATGCGGTCGACGTGGAGGAGCGCCTGGCTCACTGCGATGCATTTTCCAGAAATTTTACCAAGCGACATTCCCTTTGAGTGTTGGGTATGTTTTTGGAAATATTGTGATTATATTTTTATTCAGAATAACTTTACCAATGACTAGATCAGATTATTCAGTGGCGCAGGGCCGGATTAAGAGGGAGTGAGGCTGCTGAAGCTCTCCACATCATAGGAGTTTCCAAAACTAGTTATCGCTTCCCAATAACTACAATATTTGTCATTTATGAGTTATTTAACCCAATAGGTAAATCTATATTAAATCTGTGGAACAGAAATAGCTTCCAATAAATAAAATTTTTATTTTCGCGCCAATTGTCAAACAAAAATCAATTATCAGGTTCTTTCCTATTATATAATAAACAGTTTTTTATTTCTCCTGAAAAGTATTAGTTTTTGCATATAAAAGGTATTATTAGTAAACAGTCGTTATACTACCAATACAAATATCCCTTCATTTAATTTCCAGAACTTAATTTTTCAAAGCTAGCACTAATGAAAAATCGCCTAAGATAAATAATTGGTCAAGAAAGAACATTAAATCTTGTGTTACCTATATATATTATCTATTGAAACCGATTTAGTTAATTATGTAACTATTAAGACATAACTGAAGATTTTGCGCGGTAAATGAAACTATAAAAAAGGTAATTACCTTAATGACTTAAGTCACTACCCAAGTAGCAAGTAAATTAACGTTGAATTTACTTTTTGCCTGGTTAATTCCTTTAAGTAATATTGTACTACAACGTTAAATTTACCTTAAATTAACGTAATAAGTGTGGAATTCAATTATGGTAAAATTAACGTTATGTTAGTTAAATGTAACTTCTTGGCTAATGTACCTTTTGGTTAACAAGAAGTTTAATATTTGGTAGTTTTTGGTTTATTTTACCCTTTTTTAACTACTTTTAAACTCTTAAGTTCACAATAATAATAAGTTTATTTTAACTATATAATTATAAATTAACCATATGGTTATGTATATCTATAATCTATAGATATAACTTACAGATCCTTAAAATAAAATGTCGCCCATAAATATTATATACAGCCATTTCAGAATAAAACCGAATATATCTATATAGGTATATGTGGGGCGTGGCCTCGCCTCCCTCCAAGGCTCGTCACAGTAGCTTGTGTGATAAACGACAAGACGAAAGGTCAAGCAGGTAAGACGACGAAAAATTAAATGATAATAATGCAAAAAATCTCATTAGCAATGCAGGTTATTTGCTTAGCTACTGTGTCGCGCGTTGGAGGGAGGCGTGGCCACGCCCCATATATATATAGATATATTCGGTTTTTCTCTAAACGGGCTGTATATATAAATATATATATATATATATATATATATTAGGGTGGCCCAAAAAAATTAATATTTTTTTTCTCGTCTCTTGTAAAAAATATGTTAGTTTATCATGCTGTAAGAGCCCTGTCAAAATATCAGCTCGATTAAAAATTTTTAGGGGTCGCTCAAGATTTTTAAAAATATTCCAAATCGTCAAAAATTGAATTTTTGTTTTATTTTAATTTTTTTTCTCATCTCGATATTATTTTTTTGGTTGAAAATAATAAAAATTCTGTAAATTTTAAATCAATATTTTGATTTCTAAAGGTCGCTAAAAGTTCGTTGATATTTATATTCAGAGGTCGCTCGAAAACATTCAAAATACTCTACTAATCTTCAGCGACCTTTAGAAATCAAAATATCGATTTGAAATTTTCAGAATCATTATTATTTTTAAATTAAAAAATAATACCGGAACGAGAAAAAAAAATAAAATAAAAAAAAAACAATTTATGACGATTTTGGAAATTAATACCAATTTTTGTTTATTTTGTTTGAAATTGATTTGAAATATTTTTAAAAACAAAATAATATTATGTTTTATTATTGGTTTGTTTAAATTACCTTATTTTTGGAATAAAACAAATTATTAAAATTAATGACATTTCCTTTTGTTAGAATGGTCAGCTAACAATATGGCGATTTTAGTATGCCTTTACTTATTGGTATAACCAATATAAACTAACCTGCAAGTTTATTTAAACCATTTGGTTATTTTCTTGTGTTTAATTTAACTACCTATCGTTAATTTAATTTAATTCTTTGGTTTTGGTTTAAATTCGGTTAATGTAACACATTATGGTAATTAATTACCAAAATTAGTTAAATTAAACTAACTTCTTATTTTTAAAATAACTAACCCACTTGGAAAAATATTATTTCTACAATGTTACTGAATGTTACATTTCTAGGTGTTACAAAATCCTTGTGGAAATGTTGCAGGAACATTGCAACAAAGCCTTATGTCCGGCTCAAGAACATTACATTTACAAATAAAATGTTGCTTACATGTTAATTGCAATGTTATTTTTGTTAATGTAAGGTTCCTGCAAAATTACATTTGTAAGGTGTAATGTTACAAAAATCCTTGTGGCAATGTTGCAGGAACATTGCAACAAAGCCTTATTGTTCAGGAACATTACATTTACAAATAAAATTTTGCTTAAATGTATTAATTAAATTAATTAAATGTGAGGGGATTGTTTTAAGATTTGCAGATAAATTATGATTTACAACTTTGTTAACTCTTCTATAGTAAGTTAAAGAAAGTCTATATTTTTTTAAAATATTTCTTGTAGGCACCACACAAAACTCACAACCTATAGGTTTATATATAAAGACTAATTTTTCTATGCAGGTAACAACTGCAAAACCATCACTTTTTTATCCAATTTAATAATAAACGTTAATTTACTACCAAGTTAAAATATATTTGGTAAAATATAACTTGTTGGTTAAAAAAATATATCCAAATTAACCAATTCTGTTCATTTTATACATATGTTATTTTTTTTAAATGGGACATTACAGATGTCAAAAATGGGTTATGGCTGTGAATTTTAAATTTTTTGTAAAATTTGGTTATTTTGAATTTTAATACTACCTTGCGAATTTTTTCCATGATTTTTTAATTTTAAAGTACTGGGCAAATTCGTCCTTCTATTTTTTAATTTTGAAGTACCTACCTACATAGTGTACAAATTTATCCTACCATTTTTTAATTTATGCTGTGTGAATTTTGTTTAAATATTCTAATACGACGCAGGCATGTGCGTTTTGTCTGTCGTACTGGGTTTCATCTTTCGTAACGCCAAGTTTTAGTTTACCCTCAGCAAAGAAGTTTCACTTCAAAAAGTCACAAAGTTGCTTATATTAATCTCTAAAAATTCCTCTACTTGCCAATGAAAGTCCCATCAAGATTGATTCAGCCGTTTCGGCACATTAGGGGACACGGAATTTTGAACGCCTATTATTACGTTGACAACAAAATCTAAGCTGCCTTTATTATGGACAACTAATTTAACAGTTATCACTATTCTTGTCATTTTGACAGCGAAATAAAAAATGGTCAATATTGTATCTTTGCCATTAACAGAATTACCCAAAGAAATCCAAATTTATTTGATGTTGATTATTGACTTTGTAAATGTATAATAAATCAATTTAAGTTTAAAAGTAGCAAAATATATTTTCGATTATATTATTAAAAATGAGATTGAAACTAAATCATGTTTTTATGATTAAATATGATCTAGTATAAAACCTGATCGATTCTGATCAAATTAGAATGACGCTAAATGAGGCCTGTCGGAGCAAAGTCAACAATCTCCCGTCAGACTAAAACTGAGTAAATTGAGATAATTGATTTTGGTTCTTTAAATTCTAGATTTTTTTTTTTTTATATATATTATATTGAAATATTCTTGTTGTTCTTCTAGTATCCAACTACAAGGTCTCCAGGATGCATAGTATAGGTGAAATCTGTAATTATAAATTGGAGATTGCTGACTTTGATATGAATTGCTGGAGATTGCTCATTTTGTTGTAAACGTTTAAGGAGATTTAGAAAAATAAACAAAAAAATAATTGTATTTTTATTCCTTTAATGGTTATAAAAATTAACTATACAATCAATGTGGGAAAATTCTGAACTGGACCACATAAATCTGGAGTTTCTTGTAAATCGGGGACCAGGTTGCCTCGTGCAAAAAAGTTTTTATAGTACAACTCATCATCTTCTTCCCACTTTGCTCCGTAATGTTTTACTTGCAATGTTTTGACATTATCAGCCTTTTCTTGCTTTACCTTTACGTCTTATTGTGGTATAATAGCACAAAATAAACAAGATAACTTTTTTATAATTCTTAAAACAATAAAACGTATATATACCTATTTAATATATTTTTAGTGCAATTTACTGCAATGGAACTTAACAGTATGTTCTAGTAAAAAAACACAAAATTAAATCTCTAAAATACGTTATAACATCAAATGTTAGGATGTCAGGTGACACAAATTACTAATTTCTAATGGTGGACTTGGAGATTGTATACTTTGCTGCAAAACTATCAGTGGAGATTGTCGACTTTGCACTAATTGTCATTTTTAAAAAAGGATTTTAGGCAGGATTTAACTTCTTTTGCAGCACATAAACTTTATCATCTTATAGATAATTAGTTGATAATTAGTTGAAGTACAAAAATCTAATTTTTGACCAAAAGTGGGGATTGTCGGTTTTGCTATAGCAGGCCTGTCATATATGACAGGCCTCAAATATTTCATTAAAACCTAATTAGGTAGGTAGGTACATAATTGAACCTTGACGAAATATGATTGAAACTTGATCATGTTTTTATGATTAAATATGAGTCATATAATATGACGCAAACTTTATAACAGAATTGAACCTTACAAAATAGGATCGAACCTCAAATATGTTTTCAACACGATCCACTTGGAAATCTGATTTAATATGATCGAGAGAATCGATTATTACAAAAAAATAATCGACTCTTTGATAATAAAGTTCAACACGATTTTCCTCCATAAAAAA